GGGAGGATGACATAAAAAAGATAGCTGGTTCAGGATGGACACGTACTGCAAAGGACAGAATTAAATGAAAATCCTTAGAGGAGGCCTTTGTCGAAAGACAAGCTGTAAAAGAAAAACCGGTTCCCGATACAAGGATTCAACAATAAACAAATTGGAATTAAACAAAAAACATCCAAAACTTGAAACGTAATACGAGTATCTAGACTTTATTATTATTCATATTGTATACTGCAAGTTACAGCAATAAAGGCTTATTTTATTTTATTTTTATTTTTATTTTTTGATAGCTATCATTAAAATCAGATGGAGTTTCCACGATGAACTTGATTGTATGAAAACTCGAACAGTGTAAACGCTCTTAAAATAAATTGTGCGTTCAGTTCTACTTGTATCTTTATTCACCTATATTTACTTCATTGAGATCTCTAACGGAGTGCTTATGGCAACGCCTCGATACTTTTTTGCAATAACTACAAGCTAACTGCATTAATACGCGTCGAATTTTCACAACACCATGAAGGTAGTGTCTGATTTGTTGTTCTTTATATTGTTATACAAATAGAGGGCAGAAATAAGACTTCTCATGACATGTTTTTATAATGACTATCGTAAGACATACTAAATTAACTTAAAATCGCGGGCTAAAGTAGGATGCGCGACATCGCCGCGACCGCGCACGTTGCTCATGAGGAAGAACCCCTCTGTGATTAGAAACTAGTAGAACTTTTCTCAGTATATCCACGTGAGCGACCTGCGATTTTTTAGTTAACTTTACATGACAGTTGCACAAATGCAGCAAAAAAAATTCCTCCTCTTATTTAACAGTTCTTGACTCCTAGAACAACCTAACGGGTAACCGGGGCTCCGGCTCGACGTGCAGGAGAAGGAACGGGGTGGTTTTTAGTCAGTAAGAGTCTGACACTCCCTCCCGCCTCACCCAGGCGGGAGCAGTCATTCGATGATTTTCCCCCCTTAAAAAAAAGACCAAGAAAACAAGCACAAAGTCAATATTGATTTTATTGAATTCAAATTTTAATTTAATTCATTTACAACTAAAGATTATTCACTACAGTTTTTTTAGTTAAGTGGTTACTTGCATGCTATGCCACTGTAAAGTGCATGCGCAGTGCAGTTTTATGATAGTTTCAGCTACCGAACAATTCTAAAAAACGTTTAAAAGCCATTTTGAAGAATGTAATAGTTTTTATTGCTCTATAATAAATATAATTGTTTTGCACACAGCTACAATTATCTGCAATAATATTACAACGTAACAAGTTAATAATATATTGAGGATGCACGTTTATGCCAACTTCATGTAATAAGGGGCAAGGCGAGTTTCCAAGATAAGATTTGCCATCATAAGGAACAACGAACAATTGTCATCATCATTATCATCATCATCAACAGCTTATAAATGAGCAGCAAACTTGCTCAATGCGGGTTGGCGATTTCAAACTTATAATTAGAAATTATAAGCCCAGGTTTCCTCACGATGTATTCCTTCACCGTTGGTCAGTGGTGTCTAAATAATCTTAGAAAGTACATACAACTCGAAAAAAGTGATATTGGTACTTGCCGTTGGTAGGTTTCGAACCTGCACCCTCGTGCATGAGAAGCAGGCGTCTTTTACTGGCCCGGAGGCTACCACCACACAAGAGTTGTCAACGAGCACCATTCTGAAATATGTATAGTTTTCTACCTGAAAACCTAAAAAATCCAATACTAATTTGCTTGACCCAAAAGTAAGCCTTGCTTGAAAGCAATTTTACGCAAAGGATCTCAATGTGGCAATGTATAGGTAAAATATTGTATAATTATATTATATAGCCTGTATTTTTTTCGCTTTCGTATGATTAAAAAAAAACAATCTTCTTATTTTCCAATTATATGGTAGATGACAAATTTTTATTTTAAACTCCATCTGGTAGATTATTTTAAAACTTTAGACACGTAAGTTCTATTTTTTTACAGAAATGAATGCTTTTGACGATATCGCACCTACGGTGCAATATCACTTATGCAATTTTTGTCAAACCTTAACTGAAGAAAGAGTACTCCAAATTCACCTCTTTACTTGGTGGGTTATTTATTGTCATTTGTGTAGTAAGCAAACTGACATTGTGAGGGCATTACTGTCGTTACGGTTTTGGCGCTAATCTGGACGGCACTGGGAAAAACAACGTTTCATTGTTCAGTTGCGCGCAGGACCCCGCAATACATAAGTGACGGTATAGCACCGGAGGTACGATATATTGATTTGAAATGTCACGTGACGTCACTTCTATGTACATTTTATACGTAGAAATGACGTTTTAGCCCCCACTCCTAAACTTTGATTCGTTTTATCTAAGTATCATTTTATTATACGACAAAATAAAAAAATACATGGCTAATATGTTTTCATTTCCTAACTAACGGACTAATTAGATTTTTATTTTTCATACCCTGTCAGTATCCCTATTATCAATAGTATTGAATATTGAAGATGAAAAACAATTTCATTTGATAAATGAACGTGCGCTTCAGAATCTATGTTTTATTTTATTATGGAGAATGTACGATGCAAATTATTATGTTAGGTCAATGACCTTTATTAGAGATGAGTCTCTGATAATATTTCTCTGTCATTGACGTTATAAATTACATGTTACATGGCAGTTATTGTTTAACACGCATGTCAAACACGACACAAATGTACAATTGTGACAAATTATTGCGCGTGGTTATATAAATATGGATACGAATTTATCATTGAAGAATAATATCCAGTTGAGTAAAATAAACGTAACTAACTTCTTCATACACTTTTATAGAAATACTAAAGTAACTGATGATTTCAATAACAAATTTTAATCCAAAAATCCTGGATCTTGATTTTTGACAAAAACTATAGATCCTATATCTATAGTTTTTGTAATGCCAAAAAATGATTGAAGGCTCTACTCAGACGGACCGCATTTCCACTGCAATTCAACTGTAAATTGCAGTTCGAACGCAGTTAACACGACTGAAATAAAACTGCAATCAAACTACATGTTTCGTTTGCAGTTCAATTGCAGTCTTGACGCGACTGCATTCAAACTTCATCCGAACTGCAATTTGCAGTTGGATTGCAATTAAAATGCGGTCCTTCTGTTTAGAGCCTAAAGATTTTGGTTCGAGATCTATTTTTGAAACAGTTTGTAACAGTTGCCTATTTATTAAGCTAAGCACCTGCCAGTCATTAGTTACTAAAATTAGATTAAACTGTCAAACAGCAAGCGGTCACCGGTGACCGCAACCTATTGTTCTATAATTGTGTCTACAAAACCGGTACTCGACGAGTTAATCGGATGTTTTTATAATAACTATCGTGAGACATACTAAAGTACCTAAAAATCGCGGATTACTCACGTGAATATACTGCGAAAAGGTCTACTTGTTTCGAACCACAGAGGGGTTCTTCCTCATGATCAGCGTGCGCGGTCGCGACGACGTCGCGCAGCTCATGCTGTGAACCCCTCTGTGGTACGAAACTAGTACAGCTTTTCTCAGCATATTCACGTGAGTAACCCGCGATTTTACTTTATTTAGATTAATCGGATACCTAAGGTTCCTACAAAACTTAGTCATAAAAGACTCTCATCTTGTGTCCGCGTCTATCGTCTACCTGTGTTCATATAAATCAGACAAACTGTCACCACTGAACTGTTCACTCGATAATCGATTTATAATCACTAGAAAATGAAATGTCGCGATAAATACCGGGTCGAGGTAATGATGGTAAGCGTGGCTGCCAATTGATACATCGTTAGGCTTTTCTATGTAACTTTTTCACACTCACGTAGTGTGAAATCAGTTATATTTTGATGTAGGTACGGTTTTCCAAAAGCTGGTTTTCAATAGCTGGTTGATTAATCAGATTAGCTAGTGATACCCAAAATATAAATAGTTCAACGACCTAAAGAATTTGTTATTCCAATTTTTACGTAATAAAAGGAAATTTAGTCTAGCTAAGCTTTATCATAATTATCATCAAAGCTAAAATGGACAGACTAGTATACAGACAATATGCATTTTAACTACTCATGAAAAATTGTATCATGACCTACATAAAGAAAACGAATTTATCTTAAATTACGACTCCTGGAATTATTTGCATAAAGTTAAAAAAAAAAATGACATTCCCAGTTTTAAAACATTAACAACTAAGAAACGAAAACCATCGGATACAGGAGGACACACTAATAATACTAAAACTTAAAAATCTTTTTCAATAACTTTGAAACAAGATCACGGTTCCACAGAAAGTGATCCCAAAGCTGTCAGCAATTGGATCCAAGATTACAAGATAAGATGATATCAGTAATTTCAATCGATGGACGATACTCCTTACTACAGTTAAGTCATGATACAAAACTGTTTTAGATTGAACTAGTCTGGAGCAGTACAGGTGAAGAGAAAATGCTTAGCAAGACTAATTTATTTAGGAAGTCTCTTAGACGAGTTCGGAAAATCGCCTTTTGAAAGGGTTGTAATAAAGAATACATTTGTAATGAAAAGTAGAATAAAATATAATGTCCAGTCTATGAATAAGATTCAGATAAACATAAACTTAATTTTAATTAAACAATCAAAATTGAATTATTCAGAAACAGAGACCTGTATTTAGATTATAACTCAAAATTATAACTTACTTATTACCAAATATGAAAACAAAACGGGCTAGATAAAGGAGAATAACTAGATAAAAACTAAAAGCAAGTTCTTCGAAAGTTCTGCATATAAATTATTGGGATTTTACCACAATAGTAATTATAAAAACCAGTAACTAAGCCGCTAGTTTTAATAATAACATGAATACTACCCCAACAAAATGAGTGTCCGACAGTACCTAACAACATAAATGCATCGTTGCATCCCTCTCAGCGATAGCCAGTGTACCGTGACACCAAGCGCATATAAACGTAACCAATGTTCTAGTTATACACAGTGTCCATATATCCAACGTAGTGCAAACAACAAACATGGTAAAGTATCTCCTGCTGTTGACCTTGGTCGCTGCCGTCACAGCCAGAACGGCGACCACGGGGCAGAACAAACTAGAAGGTCGAAGCTCAGATGACAACATTCTAGGAGATCTTAAATTAGCATATGAAACCTACAAAGATTGTAGCGGGTCCGACATTTCGCACTGCCTCAAACGAAAACTGGCGAAGACTTTGAGCAGGTTGACGAAAGCTGAGGAACTGAACATCCTGAATGGTGTCACGATAACCAAGGATAACAATGTGCAGATTATGGAGAAGGAGGAGGCCATCCCCAGGGGTATGGATGAGGGGTCACTCAACAACCTCATTTTGGACAAGGTCGTCAACTTCATGAGGTCCCATACATTGCAGGTAAGGATTTAATCCCTATTCTGTCAGTAATCATCTTTTTACAAACATTAATTTAGATAATGAAGAAGTTGGCAATAATTTATTAGATTAGAATTATGACAATGACATTAGCGGATTTAAGGTTTTCTACAATACTTAGGAAGATTCCAATAAAATCAATGTTCAGTTACCATGAAATATAATCAAGAGATCATAGAACAGATACATCAAGTTCAAGTAATAAAGAGCATGCAATGTTTATGGAAATTACTATAATTTTCCTAAGAGTACAGTGAGTGCACTAGTGACACAGTTCGAACAGGTTCGACTGGAAGCACGATGCTTAAATTGTGGGTTGGAGATCAAGTGTGTGCATACAGTTTATAAAGATTTTTCTAACTGTCGCCCTAAATATGCATGTGTTAAAATAAGTAAGTACTTAGAAATGTGACAGCAATCAACTTGTGAGGGAAATTTATATCGACTATATCCACATAGCATACATTTATTTAATTTTGATGGATTCGAAATAAACTAAACTCTTGTAAATTTAACTTAAAAAGCCACGTGGTTTTAATTATCTTCCACGTGGTTCCTTAACGCTGTAGTATTTTTAATCAATCGAAAATCGATAGTATCGAATAGTATACTTATGAGCATGACCTCCAAGAATAGAGTGCACTCCTTTTAAAATGATCAGCAACGCACCTGTACCCTATTTGGTATTATGGGGGTCTATTAACCGATCACCTATGATCAAGTAGTCCATCCCCTCATTTACCTGATAACGTAGATCTCACAACTGAAAACATAAAATATCAAAAACAGTTTTCTAAATAGTTTATATTTATAGTCTGGATAGACCTTTCTATCGCTAAGCTCGGACTTACTAAGCTTTCTCCTTCAGCGTTTAATATTACTCACGGCTTTTTATTGTCTCTATTATCAATTTCCTACTTTAATAGCCTGGAAGCCATTAGACTGCCCTATTATTTGAGTGGTTGCTATCGCAAGCAATAAATCTCAGATTCGATTTTCGGATCGAGTAAAATATTTATGGGGTAATTTGGTATTACGATGTCTTGTAATAGGGTTGAGACAGGAACTGTAACCAGAGTGTAAAAAGGTTCACCCCTTACAACTTGAGGCTCAAAACCTACCATACCATTATATCAAACAGAAAAGTCTCTAATATTCGATAATAGGTCATTGACCTCATCGTTATTATCATCAAGGTGAGGTTCAGTTACTGTGGAAATGCTAGTCTTATTCCGTTTCTGTCACACTTTTCTTTTTCTTTCACTATACTGCTTGTGATCAATCATTCAAATTTTTGTGACACAATCAAGACATCCAACCGCCGCTGAATGCGGTGTGGCGTTCGGATTGTTAGATGTCTGGATGTTTCAAACCGGCTCGACACTTTGGCAATGCGTAAAGATGTAGCTTCATTGTGCATTTTCTATCGCTTATACCACGGAGAGTGCTCTGAGAAATTGTTTGACCTAATACCTGCCGCATCTTTTCGCCATCGACCCTCACGACAGCATATGCATCCCCACCATATAGATGGTTGGCAGGCCACAACTGTGCGCTTCTCCCGTAGCTTCCTGCCTCGCACAGCAAAACTGTGGAATGATCTGTCGTCGGCGGTATTTCCGAACCGATACGACCTTCAAGAAAAGAGCGTACTCCTTCTTAAAAGGCCGCAACGCACCTGTGACTCCTCTGGTGGTGTCCATGGGCGGCACCGATCGCTTACCACCAGGTGATCCGTCGGCTCGTTTGCCTACTATTCCATAAAAAAAAATCAAACACAGCTACACAATAAACAAATTCTAACCACCCACCTTTATCTCAAAAGCAATAAGGAACAAATTCAAAAGTCAATTTATCATTGTTTCATAAATCATAACTACAACGAATATTACTTCACATAGTTCCATTGTTTGTATGACATAACTATATTGACTTCCATATACAGGTTTAATAGAGTAATTAGTATTCATATGCCACTATTGATAGACTGCGTGTAGTCTAAGTATTATGAGTGCACTTAATCGCGTCTGTGACAGCACCTATAGCTATTAACGTTTCAATGTATTCCTCATTTGATTGGGTGACTCATTTGATTGCAAGGTCATAAATTATGTCTTCTTTAGCACTGGTACTTAGATTATTCTGACTTACCACTGCTTTGAATACCGTTTTTGTTTATTGGATTAACCGGTAAACTAGCAGACGGATGATCTGATGGTAGGCATTCGGCGTCGCCCATGTACACCCGAAACACGAGAAGCGTTACATATGCGTTACCAGCCTTTTGGGGATTTGGAATTTGAGGATTTTTGAGGGTTCAGGAATGAGAGAGATTGCGATCGATAATAAGTCAAATTGGGTAGTGTTGACCCCAATCAAATTAATAAAAACATAGGTTTGAATCCTAGAATGTATAATTTGTATTGTTTGCTTTCTGTGTTGCAAGCGCCGTTACATTCTAAAGCTTTTAATAGATCGATCTTAATATGAGTATGAGTATACGACATGAAACTGAACCTTGCATAACGAACACATTAAAAATTACTGACATTTAACTGCTACCACCTATAAACTATGGTCAAAAAACCAAACAACCAAAGCGAATAAAATGACCAGTCCATTATTTAGGACCAGCACCTAAGTAGAAATGTAATGATAAACTACCACTGGCTGCTTGAACACCAGCAATTAATTGAACCTCTACTTGGAGCTGAGTGTTACATAGTTCATTCACATTTATTGCACTTGACGGGGTAAGATTATGTCTCCATCAATTAACACTAAGCTGTGCACACAGCTACACGTCGAGCTTTACATAACCAGTATAAACTGAACGTTCAATGTGCGGAAAGATGATGCGACGCGACACCAGGATAAACTGGTTTTTTTATAGATTGATGTGTGGCCGTGTGTACAATGATAATTTCAAAAATTTCAATTATGAGATATCGTTTTTCAAACTGTTTTTTGTCCAATTCCAAATAGGTCCAAAAAGTTAATACTAAACTGATCGAGAGAATTAAAAATTTAGGGATCTCGTGCCAAATTTTCAGTAATTGAAAATGAACAGCAATAGTATGGAATTTACAATTAAGCTAGATTTTAGAACCACGAAATAGAGTTTTGTTCAATAATTACCAAAAAATATTACATTTACTGTGAACCTCTGCTAATGTTGGGTATCTTATGTCCAAGAGTAGTTACTTGATCACTTAATCAAGCTCAAGTTCATCATGCAGTACATTGCCAGATACTCTATATTAATCACACAGAACAACTATACAAACAGTATCACCAATCAAAATAGTTATTATCCCCTTCATTATCTTCGTCACCCACAGCCACTGCTCCACCAGAATCTAGATCCGGCTCCTGTAAAAGCGTGACGGTCCATTCTCTACACTAAATGCGTAAAAACAGCATACCTCCCATCAACGCAGCGTGACTACTTTCTCAATGCATCTCATAATTGCATTTAATTAGACCATCTTCACTTTTTGCTGGCCACACTCTATTAAACTCCTGAGTTTCTTCTAATTGGCTTGTGCGTGATAATTGATATGCGTAGAGAAAATGTAACGTTTGCTAAATGCGAAGCTTGCACGGCAGTGCGTGTCGTTTATAGTAATGTTAGGGACACGATAGATTCTTGGTTAATGGTTTGGTTTGTCATGCGTGGTGATGGAGCATGAACTAACTATAGAGTAAAATTATTATCGACCTTGAGTGTATGCACATAAGAATCATTTGTAGAACTTGGTGCACTTGAATGAAAAAAATATGCTGCTGCTTTTAGTCTATTAAAAATGATTAGTAATTTTTGAACGATTATTGTGGATTAGTAAAATTATGTATATAAGGGTGTTAGTTAATTAAAATTAAATGATCTGAAAAGGTTTCACTTAACGGTAACCACTTATCATTAGGTGTGCCGTGAGCTTTTCTTGCCCCCGTCGTGGTATAAAAAAAGGTTATACTATAAATTTGCTGCCTCTTTGGTATGGTCCTCAGTGTGGTGTCTTTTGTCAAATATTTTGAACTTTGCTTAGGTAAGGGTCAAAGTTCACTGGAGATTTGTAACCTGTAATTGTCTGGAATTATTTTATTTTTTAAATGAATTGATATGAACTCAAGTACTAATATCGTTGTAGTATAGTCAGTTTATACAAAACCTAAACATATTATACATCTTAACGAAGGTTGTAACAGCGAAGGTTCAACAACAGCGAGATTGAACCTTGGGGAAGCCCTGTATGACAATCAGACTCGTACTTTTAGAGTTCATCGCAAAAAAAAACAGACGCGGAGGAGACTTTGGTTTTCTAATATGTAGTGAGTGTATCTTTAGTACCATGATACTTTTCTCTGAAAATTTTTGATTTCACGTATTCACCTTATAAAAATTGTTGCTGTAAATTTTAGTACTTATACTGAGTGGGTGACCCTTTTACCATAGGCATGTTGTCAGCGTCTCTTTTCTAATTCTTCTGTTTTAATTTTTCAACTCTTATATTTTTATTACTTGCACTGTCGCACCTTGATTGTCATTTTATATTTTATTTATGCTGCATCGTGCCTGGTGCTAAATAAATGTTTTTTCTTTCTTTCTTTCTTACTTACACTATTTTTTCTATTACTTGGAAGTTCTAAGTTGTATTTTGAGTAACAAGTTATATTACGGCATTGCGTACATTTCTCCTATTAATATTTTCATTGTTACCGTGTTTCAAAATGATAATTGTTCCGCACTTTCGTGTTGCGTGTTCTTCTATAGGAAGTTATTGGGTTTTGTCTATAATTATACATGCATTTGTATCGAGTTATAAATTATAGTTTGTACTTACCATTCGGTTGGAGGAATCAATTCATTTTTTCCCCAGTAATTAGCTTTTAATGGGTGTACTAATAGACAATGCATTATAAGACCTCTTTTACGTTTTGATGGAGTAATTTAGTCTGGTGATTTTCCTGCTATATTGTAGCATAATTGTACTGCAGTGCATTAGAGGTACCTTCCTCGCTGGCCGAGTGAGCAAGGGGTCTCGGGTTCGATTCCCGGGTCAGGCAAAGTATTACTGGGCGTTTACAAAAAATCTCAGTAGTAGCTCGGAGTGTGGAATTGTGGCTGGTACCTATACGGCAATAGGCTCGCTCACCCCATATTACATGGGACTCCTAACATAAATAGTGAAAAGTGGGTGTTACATTGTACAGTGGCATTAAGTGCTGTAATGTGCACCTGTGCCTACCCCTTCAGGGATAAAAGGGGTGTTGTTATGTTATGCATTAGAGGTCAAGTTTACCGCTATACAAAGTTATTTTAAGGTTCCTGACTTTGGATGCGGGTTAAACCACCTTGTAACTACATCCACTTCGGCTCAGACCAGGAATTAAAACGGAATATTTTTTAGTAAAAAGAATCTGACATTCCCTAACGTTCACTCAGGGCAGGAAGAATCATTTACTAATTACTTGATCATCTCATTCCAGGTGAAGTTCCCCACCGAAGATGAAACGGACGCATTATCTGATGACCAGGGTCGCAGCAGGAGAAAGAAGTTGGCACCCCTCCTCGCTATCCCCCTATTGATCGGAGGCATGATGGTTCCACTGGCCTTCGGAGCCCTAGCTCTCTTGGCTGGAAAGGCCCTCATCGTCTCCAAGTTGGCTCTGGTGTTGGCTGGTATCATTGGATTGAAGAAGCTGCTGTCTCCAAGCGGCGGAGGACATGAAGCTCATGAGGTGGTCGTTTCTGCAGGACACAGTGGCTCTGGGTGGAGCAGGTGAGGATATTTCTGGATTGTTTTTCTTAAATTACTGGAGTTCCGTTGTTTTATGGACGTAGATCATTTCAAATTCGAACGGGCTTGTAATCCTTCGTGAAATATGAGAGTGACAATAAATAAATTGAAAATCATATGTACGTTTTGGTACAATTAAAATGCTAGTAAACGTATTTCCGTAGTTACCATAGTAACCGTAGTTATAATGTTTTGGTAATTCAAAACATTCAAAAATTAAATCCTGGGCATATATCAGGTACCATTTAAGTTTAACTAAATACTCCTAAACTGCTAGGATTTTTGAACAATTGCGAACGTGCACATTTTTAATTGACTTCAAATCAGAAGAAAGTTCTCAATTTAACTTGTATGTATGTATGTGTGTTTCTGCGCATTTATCTCGCGACTGGGTGAACTGATTTTGACGCAGTTTTCAGAATAGTCTTAGTTACACTTAGGAGAAGGTTTTAGGGTATTAATTAACCGACGAACGACCGAAAAAGACGGAGTTGTAGTCGGTTTTTTTAAACGTAGTTTATAAAAGCATTATGTTGTCACAAAATGTTTTTGACCCACAAATTGTAAGCAAGTCTTTTAATATATTTATAGTTAAGAATTATATTTTCGGCTTAAAGCGTAACTGTTTGACGAGGAACTCGACTAGTTTCAAGCCTCGTCGCTTGTCTGCGACGCGACAGTCACCGCGTCGCGGGTTGTGGAATGCTGCTAATGAATATAAGCCCCTAGCTTGCATTGAAACTAGTCGAGTTCCTCGACAAACAGTTACGTAAGTAAGCCGAAAACATAATAATTAATTAATTAATATGTTTCATGAAAGTTTCAATATAAACATAGTATTGAAAGTTTTGTTATAGTTAGATAAGTAAGATTTTTGAGTATAGAGCAATTGTAATCTTACAATTGTGCCAAAAATGCATGCTTAAATTATTCATAGGTTATTTTTGTTATAAAAATAGTTTAACTGTTTATTTACATTATTTTTTTCTAATTTACCAGCGTTGGGCCAAGTGACCACCTCGAGAGAAATGCCGAGGGAAAATCAGGGTTAGGAGAGCTTTTTTATTAAAATTATTTTAGAGTCGGTAAAGAGTGTATGTTGTATAAAATTATTGTATGGTACAAGTTTTACGGGCAGGCCTTGATCTTCATAATTGGGTGCAATACCTATATATAGAAGTTATAAATATATACATAGCACGTTACAATTTGGATATTGATTTGCATGCGATTGTGCAACTTATGCATTTTGGCTTACGGTTTACAAAAGCTTGAACGTAGAACAGAGAAACAAATATAAATTTCCCACGCTTACGATCAACTGAGTACCTATTTTTATAAATATTTTGCATGGTCAGCAGACCTTATTGCATTTTATATATAATTGTTTGGTTTCTTTACATTTCAGGTCGCTGGAGAAGTCGTCTCATGACTTAGCGTACAACGCCTACGCCCAATAGCCAAGGAACCCACCGTTAATATAAAATAATTAATAAATCTGCGCATCTAAGGACCAGTTGGTTTCTCATCAATTATTATGTTATTAGACAACATTATTGACAATTTATAGAGTACATAGTTATGCAACACACGAAAGATATTGCATTTCGCAATTTATTATTCAATTACATATAAAAGAAAAAATAATTTATTCATATAATAATTTATTTTTTATACGCTCTAATACTGAAATGATATATTTAATGAATTCACTAAATAATATCGGAATTTTATTTCTGTTGGACGAATTAAAAAAAATATCCTATTTATGTGTCATAATTGATCTGTATTTTTTATTATTTTATCTGTTTGTATTTATTCAACTTTTTAAACATCAAAGGATTTTTAAGAATATAGTGAAATAATAATTCTACTTTCAGGGTCAGTAAACATATGACAGCATATAGTTATCTAAATTATTATAATAAAATTATAATTCTATATTATATAAAACCATGTATAATGAATGAGTGAGAGAAGTAATCTCTTAGCATGTCGTTTTGTAAAAGTACCTCAAATACTCTTAAATTACTCAGTAATTATATTATTATATTATATAATATTATTTTGTTTAGTTCTATGAACATGTTGTGAGTAAGAAACCAAAAATATATTTATTTATTTTGTTTATACTCATATTTAAAAGACTTTGGGGTGTGCTTTAATTAATTTTATATTTATTGTCAAAAATAGCGTTTTTACATTATTTTATCTTTTTTATATATATTATTGGAAGTATATATGTATCATGTGTATTGAATGAGCATATTTTTGTACCGATATTTATTTTAATTTATTTATACTATTATTATACAATACAAAGACTGAACATATCTATTTATAATAATTATATTATTATAGTATCCACATGTACATATGTAAATAATTATTGCATTTATGTAATTTTTCATCTTCGTATATACATTTGAAAGTATTATGGATTGCCAAATATTATTATTTTAAATAATATAAATTTATTTATTTTATTACACTTTTTAGGTTTACAGATCTCATATTTATTTTTTCATTATTAAGGTGCTCATTTATATTTAAATGCAATGTAAATATTGTCGCGTTATTTATTTATTTTCATTTAATATAATATATAATGTTCCAGTCAGTTCATTAATTTATTAAATTAACTTAATAATTTATTGTCAAATGTTATTAATTAAACTGTTGGTACTCACTATATTATTTTATTTATGGTATTTTTATACTTATGTTCCTTATCTTTCATGATTTTTAAACAGACTGCAAAGCAACGTCCTCCACAAAATTGAATATATTAAAAGTAATTGCATGGCCGAATATATTGAGAACAGCATGGGCTGAAGTATAATTCCACGAAAAGTGAGTTATTGGTGTTTAAGGGAAAAAATAAAAGTCCCTCATAATTATGTTCAGCACGTAAAACTGAACGGATTACCTTTAGATAGGGTATTACAATTGAAATATCTGAGCGATATTGTGGGGACTGAAAAGATGATCTAGATATGGAAAGGGAGCGCATGGTGCTGGCTGTGAGCTTGTTTCGTTTTATTTTTGTACTCGTGTGTTACTACTAACAGTTATTTTTTTAAGTTTGTACTGATTACTAACACTATAGGCCGTCGGCGCCTGATTATAAAGTATTTTTATTTATTTATTTATTATCATAAAGTTTTAACTCGTCGAGTACCGTCATTATAGACACAATTATAGAACAATAGGTTGCGGTCACCGGTGACCGCTTGGTGTTCGACAGTTTAAATAAGAAATTTGAAATTTTGATGCAGAACAATGTGTAGGGACCCCGTATACTCGTACTAACATGTGAGACGGAACACCGCCATTGGAATGGTTTTTAGTCAGTAAGAGTCTGACAGTGCCTTTCATCCTCCTAAGGCGAAGGCTTCATGAGCATATGCCACCCTGGGTACCTGAGGACAAAATATGGCTATAGACATTAACATAACATCACGCCTTTTTATCTCTGAAGAGGTAGGCAGAGTATTACGGTACTTAGTGCCACTGTACAATGTAACACCCACATTTCACTATTAATGTTATGAGTCCCGTGTAATAGGAAGTGACACTATTGCCAGATACCGGGCACAATTCCAGACTCCGTGTTACTACTGAGATTTTTTTTAGAACCCAGTAATACTTTGCCCGATCCGGTAATTGAACTCGAAACGACTGCACGGTTGGTGTGGTGGCTGGGCAACCGGCTGCCGTGCAACGTGTCGCGGGTTTGATTCCCGCACGGAACAACACTTTGTGTGATCCACAAATTGTTGTTTCGGGTCTGGGTGTCATTGTGTATGTGAACTTGTATGTTTGTAAACGCACCCACGACACAAGAGAAAATCCTAGTGTGGGGCAACGTTTTTCTAAATGAAAAAAAAAAAAACCCTTGCCCCGGCTGTCGCACTTGCGACCAGTCGGTCAGTAAGGCAGTCATGGCTATAGACTTATCCCCTATTAAACTGTCAAACACCAAGCGGTCACCGGTGACCGCAACCTATTGTTCTACCTCTATAATTGTGTCTATAATGACGGTACTCGACGAGATAATATATCGCTCACAACTTAGGTGCAAAAAATTGTAATATCTGTCTAGATGGACATAAATGCAAAAACAAAATATCACAATATATTGACCCACCCAAAAATCGAACTCTGAACCTGTCCATTCGTTACTTTCGCTGCATGTAAATGATTACTTACCCAACATACCGTTGTATGAAAAGACAATGGTTTCATACATTATGCAGAGGGTAGGCAGCGGCCAAACATATGATGTATGCCAACGAAAATTGTGTCAGTACGTGTTGAGTTTTGCAAAATGAATTTGATAGAAAATGAATTTAAACATAACATCATCATCACGCCTTTTATCACCGATGGGGTAAGTAGAGGTGCACATTACAGCAATTAATGCCACTGTACAATGTAACACTCACTTTTCACCATTTATGTTATGAGTCCAAAGAGGGGGTGAGCCTATTGCCATATACCGGGCACAACTCTAGACTCCGTTCTACTCCTGAGTATTATTTTAAAAACTCAGTAATACTTTGGCAGTCGCTTTTGCGACCACTCGGCCGACAAGGCAGTCTGAATGTATACAAACATAATATAACATTAATTATCATAAAATATTAGGTAATTTTTTTAAAGGGGGAACTGGTCCCGCCTGGTTGAGGCGGGAGGGAGTGTCAAACTCTTACCGACTATAAACCACCCCGTTTTTTCTCCTGCGCTTCGAACCGGAGCCCCGGTAACCCGTTAGGTTTTCCGCGACAAAAATTATTATGTTATATTGCTGTACTTACAATGCCATAAGCTAGATAATGATGAGCAGGGTAGATTAGTAATCACTCCAACTGTTCTGGGGGTATCGGAAGAGCCGAGGGTTGACGCCCTCAAGACCTGCTACCTCCTACGCTTCAAGACGAAGTTCAAACCCTGAACTGCACTGCAGGTAAAAGAATTTCAAATGATACTTTAAAAAGAGACTTTAAACCAGTGATTTTAAGGCTTATTTTAAGAGACAAAACATACTGTTATGTGAATACAAAACACACATACAAACAATCACATTAACACTTTCTTAACACAAACAATATAAACAAACTCATACAATTATATCAACAGGTGCCATTATACTATTTGAACTCAAGCCTGAGCCCTTCAGAGCATTGAACTTTAGAGAAAGTTGACGGACATACATCATTCTAAGTAATTATTTATGTTTAGGTATATAGACACCGGCGCATCAATGTAATATAATCTGTTTATTTTTCTCATTACATTTTCAACTTTATCTCATAACAAGTAAGTTGTAAATCGAATAAACGGATTTTAAAGCAAGGTAGGTTGATTTGCTGTTGTAACATCTTCATTATAGGACGGAATGGAATTAAAGGAAATTGTTTGACCCATTGACGACCGTTTAACAAATTGATACAGGAAGAGAAAGCAGCTTTGAATAAGGGATAATAAGTCTGAGATTGGAATGACGTTGATGTTAACTTCGAGAAATGCATGGATTAGATCTTCGCCTGCTCTTCCTGTAGATATCGAAAGAGCAAAATGAGCGACTACTCACTATACGATCTCTACTACACTGGTACTTTTTTTATGGCATAAGCCGGTAAACGAGCAGACGGATCACCTGATGGTAAGCAATCGGCGTCGCCCATGGACTCCTGGAACACCAGGGGTGTTACAAGTGCGTTTCCGGCTTTTTGGAGATTAAGAGTTTGAGCATCGTTGGGGATTCAGGAATTGGGGAGATTGGGGAAATTGGGGAAGGGTAATTGGGTCTCCGGTAACGTCAATCACACGACAAAACACAACGCAAGCGTTGCTTCACGTCAGTTTTCTGTGAGGCCGTGGTATCACTCCGGTCGAGCCGGCCCATTCGTGCCGAAGCATGGCTCTCCCACACTTAAATTTTACTTAACTTTTATATAATAACTAACCAGATACATACTAAATGAATTACAAAAAATACGCACTACTCACGCTAACTTTTCAATAAAACACTCAACTAGTTTCAAATCAGACCGGGACTCTTTATCTTTCTCTTCTTTTAGGTTATCGTGCACCCAACATGCACGGTTCCAACCCAGCAATTAACTTGTCATTTAACTCGTTGAGTACCGTCATTATAGACACAATTATAGAACAATAGGTTGCGGTCACCGGTGACTGCGCGGTGTTTGACAGTTTAAATAATATAACCAATAAATCATCTGTCGTATGATATATTTCATAATGTCAATATAAGAAAGCTTATAATCTTTTGGTATTCTTTTCAAAGCAAAAACAGCAGTACCGGAGCCGTGTCGGAGCCGGGCCGTGATAGCCTTTATTAACGAGCAGCATGCACGAAACTGTGACGTCACCCAGCTTACTCTCGGACCTTTTAATCTGCGGTCTACGACCTGCCTGCCAAGCATGAGGAACTTGGTAAACCCAATGTAGAGGAGGCCTATAGTCCAGGCCTGTTACGATCTGTTGA